TCTTCCTAATAGTATAAAGCATTCTGCCAGTATTTCTAGCCTTAAACATAAAGTCCCTTCATCTTTTGGTAATACTTAGAATTTCAGATTTAATTAGTTTCATATTTTTATATTAAATTTTATACTCTAATAATTGTTTCTTAATATTAGATATATTTTGTTAGCTTACTGGGGAGCATCCCTCGTATGGTGTCTATGACGCTTTTGGATGCTGCCTCTCCATCATCATCATTATTATTATTCACTATTTATTTATTTATCAGTTATTATTATTTAATTTTTAATTTAGTGATTTATATTTGGGGAAACTGTAAAAAACAAATGTTTCATCAGTTGTTGTCGCTTCTGTAGCTTTTGATGGGTAACGGTTGCCTCCTTGGGTTCAGGATGGCAATGTAGTCGGCAAGATTATTTTCCCCTGGCTTGCAGATAACTATGTAGTTGTATGTGTAAAAGGATATGCAGCTTCGCAGTAATTTTATTTAGTTACATCAGATCAAGGAAAATAAACTTTCTATCACGAACGTGTACTTATTCTCGGCACTGAGCACGCGCTAGACCATTGCGGAAGCTTAGCTAGTGTAACAACTCCACCCTAAGAAATGCTACAAGCGGAAATCTAAGTTTCTAACAAAAAGTAACAGCCAAAAAAAAAAAAGAGAAAAGAAAACAGAAACAAAAAAACAAATAACAATAAAAAGTTACCTCTGCGGGAATCCATTTGTTGGTCTTTGGTTAGAATACGACTACTTGCTCGCCTTGATTTAGTCCTCAAAGCGTATGTGTCCCTTGGCGGTCGTACTTGTTTCTCTGGGTGTCCTGTAGATTTTGTAGTTGCTCTCTGTTGCTATCAAAAACTTGTAAACGTCGGAGATGGCCACTGCATGGCAGTCGTGTGCGGTAAGCTCTACGGTTGAGCAGCTGAGAAGGTGACGGTAAGTTGCTGTCTACAGGTGTGGTCCGGTATGTCAGCAATGCTAAGTATGGATCTTCCCGAGGCTTCTGCTTTTCGTACAAGGTTTTTTCACTGTCTGGACTGATCGCTCTACGAAGCCGTTACTTTGTGGATACAGCGGTGAGCTTCTCACATGGTCAATGCTCCACTGTTTGCAAAATGCTGCAAATTCTCGACTGTTCTACCGTGGGCCATTATCAGTTATCAAGGTTTCTGGTACCCCATTTTCTGCAAATATTGACTTGAGGTGGTTAATGACAGCAGTAGATGTAGTCCAGCTCAGCTTTCTCACGATGGGGGTACTTGCTGTAGTAATCTGTTACCAACAGATATTGGGCGCCTTGGTAGTCGAACAAATCGGGTGAGGGTGTAAGGGTTCCTTTGGCTGGCGTTTAGAAAACTGTATGCAAGTGGGGCAGTTGGAAGCCATTTCATTAATATCCTTTGNCCAGAAAAAAATACATTCCATCGGTTATACTGTCAACTGATGCCTTCATTTTTGGTCTATGTCACTTATTTTCAAGTTCTTTGCTCTAAAGTCCTTGTATGACAATGTGTTGTGCGACAAATAACCGTCTTTTGTGAATATGCAAAAATCTTGCGTGTCTATTCTTGTTTACCAAACTTGCATTTTAAACGACACTCATTTTTTAAACGCAATACAAACAAGTGTACCTGTTCAATCTAGGGTCTTTGAGACAGCAGGTGGCTTTCTCCTCCACGTTTAGACAAAGAAATGACCTCTACTAAAGACTTGTTTCTAGCTCATTTGAACGGAGAAATCGAACATAACCCCCACTGATAGACCGGAGCGATCCTAGGCGAATTATTTACCATTGTAAAAGAAAAAGCTACCTTAAAAGATCTTTATGAAATACGCAGACAAGTGACTAAATACATTGACGAAATTGAAACCTATTATTCCAACGTAGAAGAACATTCTACTTTCCATCAGTTATACCGAGACATTATGTCAGCTTTTCTAGCTTATGTCACCTATTTACAAATCAAATATCGTGCTGTGTGACAAATAAATCATATGTGTGTGTGTACATTGACGAAATTGAAACCTAGAATCTTTAACTGAAATATAGATGCGTGCTGTAAAAGAAACTTTTTAATCCTTGGTACGCGAAGCGTACAAACGACTATTTAAATGGGGCAGAACATACAAATGTGTCACTCGCTCAGATGTCAAGAAATCGATATGACGACGGCAGACCAATTGATAGCGACCTCCGAAATTATACGGAACTCCTCTATTACATTTCCGAAGTAATGCTGTGACGTTAAAATTTAACTCGACCTTTCTTCGAAAGAGTGCCAATTTTAATCAAAATACTCGTCGCAGTTAGCGCATGTGTAACCGAGTCCAAGCTCTTTCAAAGACTAAAGGTGTAACTACGAGTGAAGACGCTCGATGCAATCGCTTTTCCGCGATCATCTTTCGTCATCAATTACATTATTGTGCAATATTCCTCGACGTTCCCGGGTATATTTTGTTTTTAACAAAGCGTCCGCTGGCCACAATCGTTCTTAAATACAATTCCAAGCCTTCATTCCTCTCACTACGAGCAGTTAGTATTTATATCGTTACATATCGCTAAAATGAGTAACCAGCGAATTTTTATAGGGGATAGGGAAGCGTTACTTTCCGTACTTACCAATTGTTTACTTTTCTGGTGGTTTTACCTCTCATCTGTTTGGTGACTACGCAGACATTAATTGTTTAAAATCGTTGTGTGTACACCCTCGAACGTTAAAAATTTATTAAGTCGAAGGAACAGTTTTGGACAAAAATGTCGTTTAGCAATTTTTCTTTCCAATTACATAAATATGTTCTAAACTCAAGATTTTGTCCTCAGCTTACATATCAGATGCTAACTTAGTAAAATATTTATGCTCTTTTTCGCATTTATTTTATAAACTCTTCAGTTGCATTCTAATTGCAAAGAAAATGCGTTTGAAAGTCAGTACAGAAAAAAAGTATTCTAATTGAAATGTTTTAGATGTTCTAATGTTCTTATTACATTCTATTTAAAAAAAATAATGAAGTATTCTAATAATCAGATACGATGAATATATGAAGTTCATATATTTGCCGTTGCAGATACGTATGATGCACGATCCTCGCAGTAGAGAGCGCTATTCATGCAATAGCGTAAATCAGACCTGAAAAAAATCAGGCCTGTACGGGATTCGAACCACTGACCTCTGCGATACTAGTGCAGCGCTCTACCAATCGAGCTAACAAGCCAACTGGGAGCATGCCTTTAAGTTGATCCGTAATAAACCGGTGATGATAAATCAGATACGATGAATATATGAAGATATAAATCGTCAGTTGCTTTCCTTTTCTAGAGTTGGTGCGAAAGTATGGAATGGCATCCCCCCTGAACTTCGTAAGCTAAGGAAAGCTCTTTTTAAACGTAAGCTAACTCACCTGCTTTTAAAAATTCTTGAAGTGGAGGAGATGAATTTTGACTTGCACTACCTTGACCTTTCTAGCTTGTATTTGTATTTCAACTGATTAGCTTTCTCTTTCACCTGTTAAAAATCCCTTGTGTGACTGGCTCGGTTAAAACCTTTGACATGATTATCACTAATATTATTTATTTTTATTTGCTCATTTATTTATTTATTTATTTAATTGTTGCGTGTGTCTGTATGTGTGTGTGTGTGTGCGTGTATGTGCGTGTGAGAGAGCCTATACAGTGTCTGTTTAGGTAGCCCGCCTAGAATAGCTTTGCTAACTGCGGGCTACAAAGGCCTTTATTTCTTTAATTTAAATAAATAAATAAATAAATAAAGTCAAAGTCAAAGTCAAAGTCGTAACTTACGAACCTTCACCTCGCTTCTTCGTAACCGTGCCCAAATCCTTCATTATATACGGATGCAAGGTGCGAGGAAAAGGGAAGAAAACTATTACTGTACTTGTAACGCATTTTCTTTGCAATTAGAATGCAACTGAAGAGTTTAGAAAATAAATGCGAAAAAGAGCATAAATATTTCACTAAGTTAGCATCTGATATGTAAACTGAAGACAAAAATCTTGAGTTTAGAACATATTTATGTAATTGGAAAGAAGAATTGCTAAACGGCATTTTTGTCCACTTTGGCGCTTCATAGAAATTTACTTGAAGAAAAGAAAGTACTTCCGTAGGAAAGGAGTCAACTCCTCGAGACAAATCAATGAAGGGGGTAAGTTTCTAAAGAAACTGTGGTGCTGTGTTGGTGGAGGCAACGAGGTAATTGGGTTTCATCAACTAAGTTGAAAATGCGAATCGGCCACCGTAAAGAGTTAAAAAGCTGATGTCTCGAGGGTAAGTCCTTGGTCAGGGTGAATTAGACTGCTATATGCTGCTGACAATGATTAAAGTGTCTAGCGACTGATTTTGTCATTCCTTTCTATGTCGCGAAAATGTTCTCGGAATCGGTCACCTAGTCGTCTTCCTGTTTTGCCGAAGTACAAGAAACCGGAATACGACAGGAAGACGACCAGGTTATCATAAACGTCATCCTTGCTTACAGTCCGCATTGCAACAAGCTTAAAACTCGCTTTACTTCGAGGTGGTTTGTTTCAAGCTGACAGGTTTAAAATGTCGTGTTTCATATATTCCTTTTGCGTTGCCGCGAAATAACTCAGTTTACCTCTCTGAAGCAGCACAACCACTGAGTTATAAAAATTAATCTAACGGGAGAGGCTCGTGGAATACAGGTAAACAACAATCAAAGGAGATATCTACGAATAACAATAGAAACGACGGAGCTACAGGATTCTTTACGTTTAAGAAAGCTACCTTGCATGGATAAAAAAGTCACTTTAAGATGGGGTAAATTTCATTATTGGTCTCGAGTATCGGCTTAGAACAATGCAAATCGATTCCGGATAGAAAAACTTCTCCTAAGAGAGGGCTTCATCATGCTTATACCAGGACCAGACAAGATGTTCAACAGAATTATTGCTAGGATACGAAGAAAAAAGTTAATTCCCAATGATTAAAAACTACTAGTTTATTCATAGAGCATTACGGTAGCCCATGCTCCCAACTTTTGCGAAGCCTTTTAAATGTTTAAAATCTCTTTTTAAAATAAGCCACAACCATATAATCAGAAAAAAAATAATAAAAGATAAACAAACTCAATATCATATGAGAGTGTCCCTTTCTAAAGTTCTCGTGGAGAATAACAATAATTTCAGTAGGCCTTCTTGTCATACTTCGGAGCTATTTTCGTTCCCCAGAGACAGACAAAAATGGATGGGTCATATGCACTTTCCAGGCAGCACTCGAGGGATGCTCCGTTTGGCCGCGGGTTTAGCTTTGATCCACAACAGATGCCAGTGTAAGGGTCATAAGGGACGCCGCCACAGAGTGAATACACACGGTTTTTATTGCAAAAGTGAGTCTTGGAGTTGTAAGGGGATTGGGCGCAACACGCTGTGTCTTTTCCACTAACTCGCTGTTGAACTGTTCCGTTACAGCACAAAGAGCGGACAAGATCGTAGGGCTTTTTGCCACCACACAGTGACGTAATGGTGTCGTTGTAACAGAAATAATGACTGGAGTCGTAGCTTTCTCTGCCGCAGCATTTCGAAAGCTGTCCTCCCAGTTTTGGTGTCACGGTGTCAGCACAACACTTCTGGGTGTCTAAGTCGTACCGAACGTTGTTACAAAAAGGAACAATTTGGCCTTTAGTGCAGAAGGAGCGGGTATTGGTATATGCTTTCTTTCCACAGCACTCTGTGCTGTTTCCGCGGGTAAAAAGGGAATTCAAATGGTTATCACAGCATGTAAACTTCGAAGTGTCATACCTCTTCTTCTCGCACAACGTGTAGATCTTGCTGTTCTCGCAGAAGTAAAAGCGGGAGTCGAAACTCTTCACTCCACAGCATTGCGCTGTAAGCCCACCATCGCGGGTGACGGGCATGTTTCCACAGCAGATGAAGGAGATAGGGTTGTATTCATGGCCTCCGCAGCGTGGGTAGATCTTCCCACCGGAACAGAAAGACTTAGAGCTATCATAACTGTTGGACGCACAACATCGGGCGTAGTTTCCACCAGTGCGGTGTTGAACATTCCCAGCACAGCAAAGGTGAGATTCAGGTGCATAAGTGCTGTTTCCACACTTTTGTATTATCTTCCCCTGGAAGCAGAAATGTGAGTAAGAATTATAACTCTCTTTCCCACAGCATCTCGAGAGGAGTCCTCCCTTTTTCAAAACAACTGTTCCATTGCAGCACTGCGAGGTATCTGGACCGTATGAGGCTTGGCCACATTTCTGGTACTTCTTTCCTCCGTAACAGAAATATGTCCTGTGGTCGTACAGGCTGTTGACACAGCATTTTGCGTAAGTAGAAGGGATCTGTCCATAGCTGGTTAGTGTACCAATGCAGCAAGTGGACTTGACAGGATCATATGGGCTGCCTCCACATAGGTAGATGATCTTCTCGTTATGGCAGAAGAATAACTCACTGAAAATTGGTTAAAATATGATAAAGTGAGGAGGCAGCTATAAACCTGTTATTGATGAGGGCATGCAATACCTTTGTTACTGTTGCGGTACTTGTCACCTCACTAATCCATCTCCGTGAGTCACGAATAGCGAGACACCAAGGAATTATAGCTTAATACCTTGATTAATTGCATTTATTGAAATTAATTCGTTTTTAGAAAATGCTAGCTATTTCATAAGCAGAGATTAAAAAATGCGGGCGATTTAATAAGTAAAGAGAAGATAACATAATTTTTTTATGCGACCATTTCTAGACGTCATGAAAATAATAAAATGTGCTGGCAGCGTTAAAAGCTTCACCATTATCACCTGAAATAGTGCTAAGGCTAAATACTTGTTAAAGTACCTGTTATAGCTCTTTTTCCCGCAGCATTTGGTTTTGTTTCCTCCATCCTTTAATACTACTTCGCCGTTGCAACATAAGAAGGCAGCAGGGTCGTAGGTTTTGTAACTACAGCGCTGATAAATTGTGCCGCCATAACAAAATGACATCCGGGAATTGAAAGCTTGAGTCCCGCAGCAGTCGGAGTCTCGTAGACCGTAACTAGGGCCAATTTTCCCACCACAACATTGTTCACTAAAAATAATGGTAACACAAGTTAACTTGGAAGAGTAAAAAATTAAAACAAAAGCAACTTCAAAGAGTAATCAATATTCGCTCCTTGGCGGAGAGCATCTCTTCGTCCTTTGTTGCTCCGTGATCCTGTCACGAACGCGTAAAGAAAAAGAGGTTCCAATCTCAGACCTTTGCAACGTGTAATTCTAGGATCTAAGGCTCGATTCCTCCCAGGGACTTACATATTGTTTCTTCGTTGTCCAACACTCCTGATGGGGCTAGAAGACACGTTTCTCTATTTCGTTACCGAGCTGAAAGGTTACCATGTAGTTCCTATTATACGTAATAAATCTTTCTCCCACTTTATATCTGAGAAGAGCCCACCACTCAACCTGACGATAATCAAGTGTAGTTAGTGGTCTGTTCCTAGGTAATATCCTCTAATGGGTCCTCGTCTGGCTGACAAGTAATTCCGTATCGCACTACATACGAATCTTGTCTATATAAGAGTTGTGTTTGTAAAAGATGCTTTTCAGATCTGCCGTAACCGAGCTATTTACCATAAATGATATCAATGGTCCCCTACCTTAAAGGGTTGTATATTTTACCACCACACTTGTGTAAGACTGTTTTGTTACTATGGCAAAAGTAGTCCCTTGAGTCGTAGTTCTCGTAGCCGCAGCACTTAGAGTATTGACCGCCGACCAAATGAAGGACTTTATTGTTACAGCAGGACTGTGTGGTAGGACTATAGGCTTGGCCACCGCATTTGGGGTAAACTACGTCACGATAACAGAAGTCGTAATGTGTATTGTAGACCGATTTTCCACAACAACTGGCATACCGTAGGGGAATTTTACCGAGGGGAATGGAAGTACCGGAACAGCAAAGGTCTCCGAGGGGATCATATGGGCTGTTGGCGCACAATGCATACAATTTGTAATTACTACAGAAGAACTTGTCGGGGTGGTAGCTTTTTTGACCACAGCAACGTGAAGTTGAACCGGCGCGCTGGACAAGGTATTTATTGCAGCACTGATATGTCCCTGGGTTGTACTGCTGCTGCTGGCATCGACCGTAGATGACTTTGTCGTAACAGAAGTTTATGCGAGAGTCGTACGAGGCATTAGCGCAGCATTTAGCAGCCAGTCCTCCAATACGTGGCTGCTGACTTCCAAGGCAACATAGTGTCACAGCAGGGTTGTAGCTTTTCTTCTCACAGAGTGGATAGACTTTGGATTGAAGACAAAAATAACGGCTGTCGTCATAGCTGAGATGAGCACAACACTTCGCCCTTGAGCCTCCTACACGCGATGTCACTTGTCCATTGCAGCAAATGAAGCTGTAAGGATTGTACTCAGTCTTACCACACAGAGCGTACACCTTGTCGGAGTGGCAGAAGTGGGTCAGAGAACTGTAACTGTACCGCGAACAGCACCGTGCAGCAGCACCACCAAGTCGGGATACCACGTAATTCTCGCAGCACATGTGTGTGGAGGGGTTATAGCTGGTGGCTTTACACTTCAGGAAGACATGACCACTACTGCAGAAGTATAAAACGGGATCGTAGCTGTGTGCACCACAGCACTTAGCGTTCTTGCCGCCAACTCGAGGAACAACCTTCCCACTGCAGCAGTGCTGACGGGTAGGGTTGTAAGGACTTCTTCCACACTTACTGTAAAAAACGAAACGTTTAAATAAGTGATTATTTTCTCAATGAGAAGCTAGAACTGATTTTAATTCCTCCAAGTAATTTACAGTCTGTTACTGAAGGGCTCCTTTAAACATTCGCCGCATAGAGAGGTTTTGTTATATCTGACCAGTGTTAGAAGTTGCACACCCTCTTGACCTCACTTAACTATTTTACTAATATCTTACTAACAACATTGTTCTGAGCGAGTGGGTTGTAAGGACTGCTCTCACAATAACTTTCTAAGAAATGTGAAACTCTACTTTGAGAATTAAAAAATGCTGTCATCGATCTCAACAAGGTACCAATGATAAGATTTTTTAGTGGACTTTATGAAAATTTTCAGTGTATGCAGGTCTTTTATTTTTGTAAGATTTTCTTTAAAGTGTATCAAGTCCGGCATGAATTTTTCGGCAATGTTGTATAAGGAAAACAAATCTTCTAATCTTAAAATCTTCTAATCTTCTAATCTTCTAATCTTAAAGGTGATGTGAAGTACTGATGACGAGTGAAATTTTTTTTTGGCCAGATTTCAATTATTTTCCGGAGCCTTCAGCGATAGAGGTCATACGTTTTTAAGTGCTTAAAAGTTCGAGCAAACCATTTAGATTCCATTCCTTCTTTTATGAATAAGTTGACGAAAACCCCACCTTACAACTTCTTAATGGCTTAAAGCAAATGTAAGTTTTCGCATGTCAATTAATCTCATATCAGCTTCCTCTATAGCATTGTGAAAAATACGCACAAACTTAGCACTTGGCGCGTTACCGTCGTAACTTCGTAATTTCATTAATGGAACTACAGATGAAAACAAACCGTTAAGGTCAATATTAATGATTATTTGTCACTCGTGACATTATGCAAGAAATAGAAAGTTGCGAGGAAGTGTACGCCAGTACTATAACCCATAAATTTCACGTTTCTCTATCGAAGCCGCAGACTTCTCGTGTGTGTCACGACGAAGTTTGGGGCTTAGGCATATCGCTCAATATATCGTAACAAGTAAAGGGAGGTTTTAGCTTCTTTTACCTGGACATATAGACTGAGCTAGCTTAAATTTGAGTCACGCAAAACGGTCCACCGTGCACTTACTTGTGAACAACTTCGCCGACGCAAAAAGCTGACAGCTGGTTGTAGCTACTTTTACCACAACACCTGGCTTGCAGTCCACCCGTTCGTGCAGCAATCACAGAATTGCAACAAATTTGGCTAACTGGATTATAAGGCTTCTTTCCACACAAGGAGATAATCCTACCTCCATGGCAGAAGTATTGTCGTGTATCATAACTTTTGGTGAGGCAGCAGGCGGTAAAGCTGCCACCAATCTTAGGAACCACCCGCTTGTTGCAGCAAAGGCTCCTTGTGGGATTATAAGGTGATAAGTCACACTTTGCGTACACCTTTTGGCTGAAACAGAAGTCGGTGCGTGAGTTATATGGACGTTTGTAACAGCAGCTGGCATAGTGACCATAACCACCCCGAGGTGCCACGAGGTTCCCACAACAGAATGACGTCTGGATATTGTAGGCATTTCCGCCACACTTTTTTTGGATCTTGTTTCCATAGCAGAAGAAGTAGCGTGAGTCATAGCTTTTTACACCGCAGCATTTGCCTTGTTTTACTCCGTACTGAGGACATAGGTTACTATTGCAGCATAGGAAGTGATCAGGGTCGTATACTCTGTTACCGCATTTAGGAACAATGGCTCCTCTGTGACAGAAATTGGTGGAAGAGTCATAGGCCTTCTTCTCACAGCATCTGGCATATTTACCACCGGGACGACTGTAGAAGTTGTTCTGACAGCATATATAGGTCAGAGGATTGTATATTTTCTTGAAGCATTTTGGATAAATGTAGTGGTTGAAGCAAAAATAACTGTCAAACGGAAAAATAAAGAGGACTTTTAATGGAGTTTGTTTAATGAAAAACTCAAGTCGCGCAAAAGCTGGTACACGGCACGGAACTGTCGTTTATCCTATAGCAAATAATGGACGACCCCATAAGCGGCAACGCTTTCATCACCATCATGTTGAAATAAAAGTTATTGTTGTTGTTGTTGTTGTGAAAACAAATGATATGATTATAACTACCGCAAAGAGAAAATAGATACAACAGATAGACCACTTTCATAAATGGCTGCTGAATTAATATTCTTTTGTTTAAATTGAAATTAGCCTTTCTGGCCTCGTTCTCCAGTACAAAATTGAAAAGAATACAAAAGAATACATTATCTCAAGCGAGGCCAGAAAGGCTAATTTAAATTTAAACAAAAGAATATTAATCCGGCAGCCATTTATGAAAGTGGTCTATGGGGCGGCCAAAGCCCCGGTGTTGATAACCTCCACAATAACGATATGCATTACGTTGATATGTAATTTAGAGCACATTCCCAAAAAACATACTCCCCAGATTTTCACGAGATCCTACAAATAAATGCTAAAATAGAAATATTAAAAACATTAAAACAGTCGAATGTAATTATTATTATTATTATTCAATATCTCAATGTGCGAGTGTCTAGAGGCATGGTTAAAGCCTTGCGATTCATACATTTGATATCAGCCAGAGTTGATCCGAAACAGAAACGCGAGGTAAATTAACATCGTTACGTGCGACGAGAAATATTGTAGAGGGAGCAGATAGTTTCATCTTTGCGGAACTGCTATACCGTGGCCCCATCCCACTCCCTCTCGAAAAAAGAATAAACAACGATATAAACAAACCCTTACAACTCCTACCTCCCTAATCTCGACTCCCTTACCTTCCGCTGTCGTAACTTTTATCTTTACAGCATTTGGTACTTTGACCACCAACGAGAGGTCTGATTTTGTTATCGCAACAGATAAACGACCGAGGGTTGTAAGCACTATCGTGGCACTTTGGGTACACTTTCCTATCGTAACAAAAGTTTCCTCGGCCGTCGTAACTCTTGGTGTAACAACAAGTGCTGTATTGACCGCCTATTCGAGGGTTTACTACTCCATGACAACATTTGTGGGTAATTGGATTGTAGGTCAATTTGCCGCAGAGTGGGTAGATAAGTCTTCGGTAGCAGAAGAAGAAACGAGAGTCGTAAGTATGTATCCCACAGCATTTTGCGTGATCACCGCCAACACGTCTAACAACATGTCCTTCACAACATTTAAAGTAGAAGTCTAAGAAAATAGAAACAAAGACTTTTAACTCTTTACACTCTAACCTCGCTATACATATTCTCCGTACTGTTCTCTACACATTTCCTAAGGTGGTGAAAAAGAGAATCTGTCTATCAATCAGGAGCATTTTAAGTTGATGACCATTTTCACTATTCTCGTGACTTTCATGTTTGAAAGACAAACACTACTCTCCTTCCCACTGCTTCAAAATTAAGCGATATCACTGCACCGCGAGAATTCCCACGAAAGGCAAGCAGGTGAACCAGCACTCACCTACACGATGCTTAAACGAAATGAGGAATACAGCTACGGGTCCAATTTTGAAAGGGACCTTTATGTGGACTCAATCGAATTTCCATCACCTTGATTTTATAGTTCGCGAGTTTAGACAAGCGTCCGTTATGAAATTTCGCTATCTTATCCATTTTCCAGATATCTTTACGAACAAAATATTGTTCGCATAGATAACAACATTATATGAAACGCGTAAACTTCCTTGCCATCCGCATCATATCTGGTAGGCATTAAAACTTTTCATTGCAGAATTAATTCATGTGACGATCCTTAGTACTGAACTATGTGTGGTTCGAATCCCGTACAGGCCTGAAATTTTTTTCAGGTCTGATTTCCACTATTGCTCAAATAGTGCTTTACTGCGAAGGATCGTTCTCATATACGTAAACTATATGAAGTTATTACTAATTAAAAATATCAATTGATTAATTTGTCTTTCACTCTGTCGAGAGGTAATATACATTAAAGCAGCAATGGAACGCTCAATTAATGCACAACATAACATAAAACTGGCGTAGTTATGGAGCGTAGGACTAACTATAAAGTTGGCGAGAAAAAGTTCGCCGTCATCGACGAAAACAGAAACGGGAAGAATTTTATCTCGTTTTTTCCCCTATACAGACCTATTCGTGGCGAATATTTTTTTTTATCATAATAAAGAACACTTTATCAGAAATTAGGAAAACAATTAGGAAAGCACGGGATTGATTGTTTTGCTGTGACGAGAAAAATAAGAGCAAGCTCTTGTTCATGTAAGCTGGAAAGTTTTATGTCCTTCCTTTTTCTAGCCACCGGAGAACTTGAGGAATTTAATGAAAAATGAACGCGAAATTGCAAGCAGTTACTACGATTCATAGTGAGAAATGACAAGGTAATTTAGACAGATTGTTCAAATGTTAAAATGTGAGCATCGTAGCTCACCTTTTAGGAATAAGAACTCGTTCGCTTTGCAAAATAATATGATCTTACCTAGGTTTCTGAATTTAGTCATCACCTGACTCCCCACACTTAAACTTGATGCATCTTTCGCTGCGAGTAGGACACCCAAAGACACGGTTATCACCGACACGAACAACATTTTGTCTTCAGCTCAGACCGCCAGCCTAAGTCTTTGGCAAAGTTGTCTAATCGGCCTCTTTTATAACAGCACAAGACTGCCATCTTTGTTAGGAAGAGATAAGGACCTCTTGTGAGTTAAGTGGTCCAGACAAAGCGATGAACGTTAGTAATGAAATACATAAAAATAATTATCGTGCGTGTACAGCTGGGTTACATGAAAAATGAGGGCGTTTAACTCTTTTTCAATCTGAGCTATGTCATTAGTAGTTTCCTTTCTTGAGCAAAGGGACTGTCACAATATCATCAAGTCAAATATCCATTTAAATACTACTATTTGGATGGTTAATTTTTCGGAAGTCACCAAATGTCGCTGTTCCCAACAGTAACGATTTTTTTCTCCTTTGGAAGACATTTTTACAAACTGACAAATAACTGAAATAAAATTACTACAGACAAAAACTTCAAAGAAATTCAGAGATGTCTTTCACTTGTGTATTCAACATTGTTCTGTCATATTGGTTGTAATACGGCTCAATAATTTGTATGGAGCACAATGGCAAATATTTATAACAAAGAAAAAAGGAAATTTTTTCATCTCGTTTTTATGCGTCAAAAATACCTAGGAAAAAAACATTTACAAAGAGCTCTGTTTGACCTCTTAAAATTATTTCAGTTTTATCGAAACTATTTCTGCCATCTCGATCGTAGCTTCATGCAAGATATTTATGCAAAAAGTCGATGGAGGAGCCTTTCTTCGCGTGACAATCTCCCGGAAAAATCGCAAAAGTTTTTAGTATTATAAAAAACATAACAAAATATATACAATATACAGTATGTACTTGTACTTGTCTGTTGGCAGCTTTGGTTACGCAAAACGTTAGGGTGTTGCATGCCTTTTCTAGTAACGAGGTCATCAGCAGTTTTCTTGGTTGAACAACAAGAGCTGATATGGCCAGTCGCATATCTAACTAAAACGTCAGTGTTTATTTGCAACGGTAAATATTTTAATCCCACACAATGAAGATATATACCATAACCTCAAGCTGACCTTTTAATATATCGTCATTACCTTCAGTGGTGAAAGTTCTCGAATGATATATTTCTATGACCTCTTATGATGGCGCGACTTGGTACATTTATGAAAAGATTCTGTCCTAAAGCCTCAGATGTTTTTCATAAAAGTTTGTTTACATTGAAAAAGAAACGTTACTTGCAGATACATGTTTTCCTTGTCGACTGATTCCTGAAAACAAATCTACCCATAATTTTGCAACCGATTGATTTTGATTATTCCATGCTTTCCTTCTTAAGATTGCTTTACGTGAAAGAAAATGGGAAGCAATTCTTTGCGTAACAATTTCCCAAAAATATTTTGAAATCCCTGGAAAGATCTCATGCAAGATCATCTGAAAAAGCATGGTTTACTCTTAGAGAGTGATAGAGGTTGTGCTTGTCATAAAATTAGCGAATGATTTAATAAATGACCGGCTAAAATAAAGTCTGTTTAGAATAGAAGGTGGAGACTGAAGTCTTACTTGTGCACGAAAAACTAGATACTCTAAACAGCTTTCTGCGCAGCTTTTTGTATCGTTTAAATGATACCATGTGTTGAAATATCGCATGTAATCGCAATCAGAACAACGAGAACAGAATGTACCGTTCAACACAAAGGGATACTTGATTGGAATTGACAAAACAAAATATCTAAAAATATCTCCATGCGCAAAATGCGCAAAACAATAGAAGGGAAGAAACTCTTGATTCTCGTGTCTGTTCTCAAGCAAGTCAACTATAATAATGTTTCATCAAAACCCCGCAACTGAAACACTCAACTTAGAATGACGAGTCATGCTGTGTCAATTCTTGAGTCTTGACAACTACCATGCAATTAAAAAAAGGTTATACAGATCGTTTCCGAGGTTAAGTTTTCTTTATATAAAGTATGTATGCTGAGCACTTCCTTTTTTTTGGAACCTTTACGAGTCAGTCGCAATTTTCCTTCTTTCTTTTGGCTGAAAGCACCTGAAACGGAACTTGAAGTGAATTAAATGACGAATTAGTTTAGGGCCGTTTGGAAATCGAGGCGAGCTAAAAATTAGAGAAGTTTCAATGAGTTAAAAACTTTAACTTTACTTGGCACAAATTTTGGAATGGAAAGCTAGGATTCAAACATCTGTAGCCTTTTGAGTGATTGAAAAGACGAAACCTTGTGATTTGGCACATTAGGAGCTAAGGAACATTGAATATTACCACTGAACAGAAAGGTGAAATACTCCCTTTGAAGGGATATGAACTTTTAGTTCATCAATGCTCAGGGACCGTCAGTTAGGAGACTATTTGTAGTTTTTTTTATTATGAATGTAAACCTAAAAGTAATTGTCCTTTTTGAACGTTCTTACTTCATTTATCCCAAATTTTTCCACCATTTGTCTCTCCATGGCTACACAAAAAGAAATGCGAAACAAATACTTGCGTGATAAACTCCGAGAAATCAATGTAAATCGCTCGAGAATTTCGTGATCATCTTAAAAAGCGTGGTTTACCCATTAAGGGTGAGAGATTGCGTTTTGCTATGAAATGAATGCAGGTTTTGATAAATGACCTGCTATGACAAAATATGTTTTAAAATAGACGACAAAAAGGAAAAGTTATTGATCTCGTACGTAATCAGATTTTTTGTAGCGAGAAAAGCATGTAGGCGCACTTCTGCTCTAAAATGAGGTACTAAGGACAAACTTATGCTCAAATCGTTCTGTTCTTTTACTTGCACAGTGTGGTGAAACATTGCATACAGCCTTAACAATGAAAAAAGAGTTATTCTGTTATCTCTATCGTGCAGCTATATACTTGAATAAGAAAACATTTCGTCCGTGCACTGATTACTGTTCACCTTATAATACTAAATACATATTGCATATTGTTGTTTTACACGCATGTGGTAGTGAAATAATGCACACAGCCTTCAGTTATCGATGAAAACAAAGTTATTCTGCTATCGATTGCTTTGTCGTGCAGCTGTATACTTGAATGAGACAACATTTCAGCGAGCACTGATTACTGTTCACCTTAAAAGAGTAATTACATACTTAGATACAATGAATATATGAAGTTCATATATTTTGAACTGCGGTATTAGATACGTATGATGCACGATCCTTTTTCAGGTCTGATTTTCGCTATTGCATAAATAGCGCCCTCTATTGCGAGGATCGTGCATCATACGTAATTACATATTGTTCAAAAACTATTCTTCAGAATTCGTGATGTCCGCAAACTTCTGACGGGAATTCCTTTGTATGTAATTCTCCTGAAAAAAAAAAACCAAAAAAACGATTTTATAACAAAAAAAGGGCGTTTTAGTTTTATTTGAAAGCTGGAGCTATTACCAGCTTTTGATCGATCGAGGAGCAATAAGAGAGAAGAAATTGTTGAATTTCGTGAAGGGATTACTTTACTGGCGTGATAACGTTCCCAAACTGGGTTAGACATGAGTATTTATCTTCAATTCGCTTCCTACCCAAACACTGAGCCAAGGATGACGAGTCATACCCTGTTAAATTTGAGCCTTACCAACTAACGGTTGTTTAGGTAAATTGGAAAGTTATGTACGCGAAGAATATTCCTAATATTCATGTCAAGCATGCCAAGTACTTCCTGCGTACACAAACTTAGTAAGACAGGTGTTGTACTGTTTCTGGTTTTGAGCAATGACTTTCATCTTTCTCTTGGCTGAAAGTATATGGAACTCAAGTCCAAAGGTTAACAAAATTACATTTTGGCGTCTTTAGAGAAATCGAGCGGATAGAAAACTACAGAAACCAACTTTTATTAGTTCCTAATCATTCTTCTGAGCTATGAAAAAGTATCAATATTGGAGGTGTTAAGAATAGATTGTCTACGCTGGAATGCTCAGAGATGTCAGACATCGTCGTTGATGTGGTTCAACTGAAACAGGTTGAAAGATTGTCGCAGGAAAAATGGTTGACAGAAGTTTTGAATTCTCGGTGTTTTTTCTGCACTTGGACAGTATTTCAAGGGGGTGGGAACGTTTCAAACGGTATGCAGTCCTTTGCATTATTTAAAATCACGAAACTGCATGATTCTACACATGATGTGTTCAAGAAATATCGGATTTATCTCTGAACAGACATCGGATATAGAGATTACTGAAGCGTGGGTTAATTGATTCCTTTCATGAGAGATATTCGGTCGACAATCACATTGACGTAGGCCTGAACTTTATCAGTGCTCGGTGTGTAGGTGGAGAGACTATTTTGGAGAAAATTAAAGTAAAGGAAAACCTGAAAACAATTGTGGTATTGCATTATTTGCAGTTTAAATGTAATACAATGGTCCAGAGATTTCGAGATATTGCGTAAAATGTACTGATTGATAATAGAATGAAAACAAGTAATATCATCCATAATAGTAATAGTAATAGTAATCAAAGTTTAATGTCTTTGCGTGGGGCATGGTTACCCATATTGCCCGAGCCAGAGGCTCATGTATGAAGCGCAAGACAACAACCCACCCATCCCACCCCAGAGGAGGACACCCATCACACAGTAATCTCGTGCGTGGGAAATTAACGTCTCCTACCCCTAACCCTGCAGGAGACGGAATCTCCATTTATTCGTCCCTATCCGAGAAGGCTAGAATATCTAAACCACAACGTAAAATCGATGTAAAATGTGGAGGTTTAAAGTACTGTACTTGAGACCTACGTGTTTGCGTTTGCACCTCTTCAGTAGATAAATTTCAGTATAAATAGAGAATGCTTTACAGTGGGAGGGTAATCTACGATATCCAGTTTTGGTTTAGACAGCAACGCCCTGGAACGCCATTTTATCATGGATGAAGCTGTGACATCAGAGCTTATTTCAAGTTGTTTAACTAACCTTTTTAACATACAACAACAAACATATGAAACATATGTGTGCACTGCGGTTATGAAACGTATATGTGCACGATCCTTCGCAGTAAAGCACTATTTGAGCAATAGTGAAAATCAGACCTGAA